TGGGGTCTTAAAGGCTTGAAGGTAAACAAGCAGCTATCTAGCTGAGAAGCAACAAAGCTCACATGGAAGCAGCACACCAGCTGGTGTGATCACTAGGTATCGAAGGGATCAGCTATCAGGCATCATCAGAACAAAAAATCTTACCATAGTGAATGGGGGTGTGTGTGCAAAGTGGAGACCCAAAGCCCATGTGTAGGCAATTGGACATCCCCTTGTGGAAGGGTCACAGGAAGAGACGAGCCAGTCAGGGTGTAGTGTAGCAACGATGAAACATACAACTTTCCTCTAGTTCCTAAATGCTTCCTCCCCACCCACTATCATGATCCAAATTCTACCTTACAAATCTGGCCAGACCAAAGGATGTGCACTGGTACAGATAGGAACTGGAAACCCAGGGAATCCAAGGCAGATAGATGATCCCTTCCAGACCAGTGGTGTGAGTGATGATACTGGGAGGGTGGGTTGGAAAGGGAGAAGCGATTACAAGGATCTACATATAACCTCCTCCCTGGGGGACGGACAACAGAAAAATGGGTGAAGGGAGACATCAGACAGTATAAGATATGACAAAATAATAATTTATAAATTATCACGGGTTCATAAGGGATGGGGAGTGGGAAGGGAGGGGTAAAATGATGCCAGGGGCTTAAGTGGAGAGCAAATGTTTTGAGAATGATGAGAGCAATGAATGTACAAATGTGCTTTACACAATTGATGCATATATAGATTGTGATAAGAGTTGCATGTGCCCCCAATAAAATTATTTTAAAAAAACATTGAAAAGAAATACATATACACACACAGAGATCTAATACCCTTAGAATCCACTGCCTCGCCTATACATACACTCCTGGTTCCTTCTCAAATATACCAGCAGAGTCCTACAATTCTTTTAGGGATGAAGTTATTTCTCCCCCAGTCATAACGCATACTGGTCCCCTGGAGGAGCTTCCTGGTTTTGACCCCAGTTATGGGCTATGGGTGACAAGAGATAGTTGTCATGGGTCTTGAAAACAAGCACCCCTTTGGCAACCCATCTGACCAACACAAGGTCCTCAGAGGGTTTCCCAACAAAGGGAGGCTGGCTAGTCTGTCAGATAGGATAGGGGATGGGCTTCTACTGGCAACGGAAGCCCAGGTGGCTTGGTTTCAAGATGATTAGTTTTATCTGCCTCCAGCCAGGTAATTTCATTCCAAGTTTCAGAATTCCATTCTTCCCTAATCAATGTTCTAATTTCAACAAGAGAAACTTGCCAAGACCGGGACAATCCAACAATCACAATTCAACATTCCACCCAATTCAAGTTTTTAAACTTGATCTTCAGCCATTATCAATCCCGTGCCTACAAGAAAGAGCAATTCTTTTAGGGTTGTCATAGGAGCGGACTGCTAAAGAACTTGGACTTGCCGTTTACTTTCTGTAAACACTCTAGGTTACCCAGGGAAACCCAGCCAGCAAGACCATCTTCGCAGTCACTGTTGCTGCCAGTACGACCAGCTATAGGAGGTTTTGCAGCCCATACAGCAAAGAGCTCGGTGCTGCATTTGGCTGAGATTTAAACTTGACTTCATGTCAGTTCCATTTTACAGGGACCCCCGTAGGTCAGAGTAGACCTGTTTCTGAGGGTTCCCAAGGCTACAAGTCTTTACAGGAGCAGGAAGCCTTTTATTTCTCTGGAGGACCACCTGGTGGGTTTAAACCGCTGCGTTTGTGGTTAGCAGCCCAAGGCATAACTACTGCATCATCAGGACTGCAGGGGCTGGGGGGAGGGCGAGGGGCGGGGCTATTAGAGGGAGGAGGGTGTGCCTGTGTTCTCAGATCACTCAGAGGGTGTGCCTGATACTAATTCTGTATCAACCAAGGTTCAAGCAGGAACAAATACTGCATAATTTGAACCAACCCCCCACCACACCCCAAAAAACATTGCCATCAAGTCTACTCTGATTCACGGTGACCCCATATGTTACACAGTAGACTTGTTCTATGGAGTTTTCCTAGTTTTAGTCTTTATGGAGTTCGATCCCATAAAGGCCTGCCTTCTAGGCTGCTGCAGGCAGGCTGGAAGTACAAAGCTCTGCATTAGTAGCCAGCACAAACCCCGTGCACCACTCAGGGTCAAGATCGACTGGGGCAGTGAGTGTGGTTGGGTTTGGAGGCCCCTCGTCATTTGCGCGGAGTAGGTTTCCTGGGCCGGCCTGTGTACAACGACAGCGGAGAAAGGAGAAGCTAGGGCGAACAGAAGCGCAGGCAAGACATGAACTAACAGACAGGAGCCCTCCTTCCTGAGGGATCCAGACCTTCTTATAGAGGATGTGAACCCCAGACAGACGGCCACCAGCTGCCCTGAGCCAGAGCTGGTTCAGGGTCAGGCGCCGAGGCTAGTGCTCAAGTAATCTTCCACTGGGATTCCACAGCCAGCGCACAGGCTGAAATATGGCAGCCATACTTGCTGGAGGCCGAATGGCCCTGGGTTTCCCCGCATATATGCTGCTAACAGGCATGAAGAACCAGAACACATGGCAAACGAGAAGAGAACCCCCTTCCGCCTGCAGTGGCCCTCCAGCACCCCCTACTGACCAAGTTCCACGTGGTGTTAGATGACAGAGCAGGCCACTTCCAGCTTCAAGACAAAGAAGCACATTATAAGTGTTGGACTTATTCACTGCCCCTTGCACCCCTTTCCTTCAACCAGCTCACCAGCTGTTCGGGGGCGCTTAGCCAGCTCCCGAGCCCTCATTCCTAATTGGCCAGAGTCCTTGGCAGTCTGGCCTGGGTAATGTTGCCAGAGTGGCTGATCTGTTAGGCCTTTGTTATAGGCTTCAGTAATCCCAAGACAGACCCCAGGGCATGCCCAGGTAGCTGCCATCCATAGTTCTCGGAATCCTCCTTACACTAATACCCACACCTCCGCTCTGACACACACACACCTGTCTGTACTGGTTATCATTCCGTTTTACCCATTCCAGGTAGTTCTTCCACTCAACTTCAAAACAGCTATCACGGTCTCACCTGGTAGAGGCATTTCTCTTTTGGACATTTGACCCTCGAAGTGAGCAGAGCCCAGATTTACAGAGCAGAAAATGCTCTGTGAGTGGGTTGGTGGGAGTAGTCATTAGAAGGAGTGGAAGACATTACAGAGGAGGAAACTGAGGCACGTGAAAAGTAGATGCCTCACACAGGATGTACAGTTGGCAACAGTTCTGAATCCAAAGACCTGTTTCCCAAACACCACGTGGCCTCCCGACTACCTGCCTAGCTGCTAGCAAGTAGGGTGGCCAAGACTGTCAGAACCCAAACTTGTTCCTGGGCATGGAAGAGGAACACTTGCATCTCACAAACGCAGCCCTGAGAGTTGGGATTTGCTGCTGCTGCAGCCCAGGGCAGTTTTTGAAGCAACATCCATTTAAACAAAGATGACAAAACCAGTGTCATGCCTTCGTATCTAGCGTCCTTACCTTATCGCGAAGCTGAGCCTTTTGCAAGTTTGAAAAACACCCGCTTCAAGGGCTGGCTAGGCCTTAGGTCAGAGCCTGCCCAGGCAGCTCTATGACCATGTCTCCAGCCCCCGGAGAAGTGAGATGGCGGCTGTCCCTTCTGACCGCTTGTCCTCCTCCTTTAACGTTATGTAAATTTGCCCTCACTTTGAAACAAGTGAACCAATCCCTACTTGCAACACATTCTTCATCCCAATCACCTTCACTCGCTGCACGTGGCAGCCTGTAACAATCACTGGAAAGGCTTTGACTCGTTTCTTGCATCAAAATAAGATGCACCTGTTCCACCTTGCCTGCACATTCCTGAAGAGGCGGTTAGGCATGGAGATCTGGGCTGTTCCTACCCCGGAGACTGCCTGGACTCAGCTAACTGGGCTTCTGGGTGATGATGGTGGTTTTGCAGATACAAAGACACACACAGCTGGTGGGACAGGGGTGGGATTCAGGCTCCTAATGAAGGCGCAAGCTGACCTTTCGCGAACCCTCTGAGCCTGGGACTGGCTGTTTGCTCTGAATAGGAGCAGCAGCTGCAAAGGAGCTCAACTCCTACAGATGAGTAAATGTCATAAACACCTCGCCTCCAAAAGATGGTGGGGCGTGTCCAGCACGGCCTTGAAAGATTTCTTTTTCATGATCTCCACAAGGAGAGCCTTGCTTCCTGAAAGCAAAGATGACCTGAAACGCTGATGACTGAAGAGACAAGCCTACAAACTTCAGTATGGATTACACCTCACCATAAAACACACATCCCAACCGCTGCACCAATGAAGCAGCCTCATGCGAAATGCAGATAATATCGACGTGGTCAGGGATCCATTTTACCTAGATCCCCACTCGATGTCCATGGAAGCAGCGTCCAAAAAATCAAATCACACCGTGTTAGTCTGGGTGGACTAGAGAAACAAATTCATAGACACGTATATGTGTATAGGAAAGAGCTTTTTATACAAGAGCTGTTGAATATTGAGAAAACATCCCAGTCCAGATCAAGTCCATAAATCTGATATTAGCCCCTCTGTCCAATACCAATCTATAAAGTCCTCTTCAGACTCAAGAAACACATGCAATGACGCCGAATGCAGGAAGATCACAGGCCAGTGGGTGGGAAGTCTTGTGGATTCAGCGGCGTTGTAAGCATCTCAGCACTGGTAGGGGTCTCCACATGGCTCCTCCAGCTCTCTGAGTATCTCAACAGCAGGAAAGGAAAGGCAGAGAGACTGGGTCTGGCTTCCAGTGAGCTAGTTTTCTCTGACTCCACTCCTTCATTCAAGTTGACAGGAGATTATGTAACTGCCGTAGACACATTATATTGGGAAACTCTTGCCACCCAAGCTCTCTCAAACTCGTTACAGAGCAAAGCTGTCACTTTGAGGATTATGGTGTGTCTGACCCAAGACACGGTCTGTTCAGTGGTCTCATGTGTGCGAAAGTTGGACGCTAACTAAGGACACCTAAGGGAGACTTGATTTACAGTGCTAGTGATAACTATGAAATGAACCACGGAAGAACAGGTATGTCTTAGAAGAAGTACAACCAGCATGCACCGTAGACGTGAGGATGGTAAGACTTGGTCTCGTGTCCTTGGGACAGGTCACGAGGAGAAGAAAGTCACGCTTGGTGAAGCAGAAGGTCAGCCAAAGAAGTGGGGAGATGTTCAGAGATGGAGTGACAGAATCGCTGCGGCAATGAGCACAGGCAGGGCGGCAAGTTTGAGGAGGGTGGACAACTGCATGCTGTTTCCTCGTGTTGGACGCAGGGTTGCTATGTCCTTCGAAGCGGCTCTGAGCACCTAACAGCAGGATGACCTCGGAATGAGTACGTCAGCCAGTCACTGAACACCCCGTGCACAGTTCTGCTCAGATGCCCATAGAGCCCGTCACCAGGGGTCAGAAACGGCTGGGTAGCAACGAGTGGAGGTTTGTTTTCTCATTGCTTGTGATGCTCTCTACCTCAAAGTCACCCTAACAGGGGACCCATGGCTAGGATGGGGGGGGGGTGACGAGACATTTACCAGGGCCTACAGGAAAGGCTGCAAAAAATGGAGTCCTTTTTAAAAAAAGAGGCAGCTGGTCATAATGTAATAAGCAAAGCCATGACCATGATGTAATTATTGTCCTTGAGGATGAAACTTCATAACAATATTACTTTCACTGATCTAGGTCACGTCCAAGACGACGATCCTATGTGGGTTTTAGAGACATTATCTAATTTCAAGAACTCTAAGTGCTCAGTCCGGGTCAGGAATTACTCATCTACTCATTCCATTTTACAAATGAGCCCAGAGAAGCTGGCTGCGGGGCCCACCTCGGGAAATGGAGTGACGGGGGAGGAAGTGCCCTCCCTCGCCCCCTCCTCCGGGGTCCTCCTTCACCCCGCGCCCCCAGGTCCTGCTCTGCTCGGGGCTGACTACAGCCTGTGTCCTCTCCCTCCTGCTTGCAAAGCCCAGGGGGTCACACAGGGAACCCCATCAGCAGATCCGCGTGCCTGTAAAGTCCGCTCACACCATGTAAGCAACTTTGGGGAGGAAGGGCTCCCTTTTCTACTGTGACAATAGTCTGTTCATTTAGCAAGTACAGATAATAATGCTTCCTATGCACCAGCACTACCGCAAACAGGGGCTCAAAACACCCCACAGTCATGGAGTCAATTCCGACTGAACCGGACTCTGTAGGACCGACTAGAACTGAGGCTCGGAATCTTTACGGACTGGAAAGCCTCCTCTTTCTCCTGCAAAGCAGCTGATGGTTTCAAACTGCCGACCTTTCAGTGAGCAGCCCAACAGGGAACCTTTCAGGCCAAGCCAACAGGACCTTAGTAAGCAGGGTTAGAGTGCCCATTGATCAAGGTCAGTCTGGACTTACGGGTACTTCCTTACTAATCTGTAGTGAACAACTTTGCATGGTTTTCACCCTTTCAAAGATGTGAGAGGGAAAAATGCAGATTAGAAAGGAAGCACAAGTAAGCCTGTGCTTATCTTGCTTCCAGAGTATTCGGTCCCTGCCGAGGACGGTAAATTGGAAAAGCAGCTTGGATTCTCTAGGAAAGCGCGGTGGAGGTGCGACACAGGTGCCAGTCATCCCTCGGACCAGAATCTTTGATGTGAAGATGTAAAATGGCTTACCACAGATTAATAGGTAAGCACAAGTAAGTGGTGCCTACCTTGCTTATTGGTAACACAACACTGGATGTAAGCATTCTGCAACTACTCATGAAGCTTCAGCATAATCTGGAGATTATACCTGCTGCCCTCACGTCACTTCCAACTCACACGGCGTCTACTGGACAAAGCAGAGCTGCTCCCACGGGGGTTCCAAGGCTACGGAACTTTCTGAAAGAACACTGCCCTTGCTCTAACCCGGGGTTCTCAACCTTCCTCATGCCGCGACCCTTTCGTACAGCTCCTCATGTGGTGGTGACCCCAACCATAAAATTATTTTTGTTGCCACTTCATAACTGTCATTTTGCTACTGTTATGAATCGGGCGACCCCTGTGAAACAGCCATGGCACAGCAGGTGGTTCTCAATGACTACCTTTCAGTTAGCAGTCAAGCTTAACCACTGTGCCATCTGGGGCCCATTAGATTATTAGGCCCATTTTATAGGCTAAGAAGCCAAGGCACAGAGAGGGTAAGAAATTTACTCAAGGTCACACAGCTAGTAATTCAGACAGGTTTCAAATGTACAATACTTTCACTCCCGTCTCTCCCACACCTCCAACAACCTGTTTGGCTTAGACCATGCTAACTGCATGGAATGTCAAGTTCATTCTGCCTTTACGGTGAAAGAAATGGCCCCGATTGCAATCTCAAAATGTGTGCGAGGGACGTTGGGGCAGAAACTGAACTAAGAAGAAGTTAGGCTTCTCTGCTTTCAGGTTGATGTCCAATCCCTCGGTGGCCGCGGTCAGCCACAGGTATTTGAGGTCCCCTGAAGTCGGCAGATGACATCACCACCTTTCCTTGCTAAGAATCAGAAGCGCACGTGTCTTAAGGGCTGATGCTGCCCTAGGGAAGGAATGCTGGTCTTCCCCGGCCCCGCCCACCTCCCAACAGTCCTCAGCTGCTCTGGGCTGATTCTCTCCCGCCTCCACCGCCCACCACAGCGGTGAGCACCTGCCTTCTGGTCTGGCCCCCAAAAGCTGACCTTTGTCCATTAGATTCTTGGGAACTGAGCAAAGAAGCAGCCAGGAAATTCCAAGACTGGAAAGCCACAAAGATAGGTTGTTATGATCCCCAAAGAAATGCTTCCGAGAAGGAGGAAGGGTAGGGAAGACAGAGACAAAACAAGAGAGAGAGATTGGAGAGGAGAGAGAGAGGTAGGCACCTTCCCCTGAGAACTTCCTCAGTTCCTGGCTGCTCTCACCATGCCCTCTTCCAGTCCAGGGAGGCGGTGGTTCTGTGCTTGGATAGCCAGGACTTTCCTGCCGTAGCCCAACAAAGGCTCCAGGAGCACTACACAGAGAGTGGTTGGAGGTTCCACGCACTATCAGAAGCTCACGGAGTTCCAAACAGCCCCAAGGTTTCTGACCTCAACAGTGAAAGAAATTGAACTACACACAGGCCCGGCTAATCAAACGGAGGTCAGGTGGTGGCGCAGGTGTGTAGTGGCTGTCTTGCAAGTCAGGAAAGTCAAGGTGCCTGGAGGAAGGTCAAGTGAGATAACCCCTGTGACCGCTCATGATAAATTGCCAAGGGCAACAAGAGTCACAAATGTCTCCCTCCCAGACTTAGCTTCCGAGCCTCACTCTGCTCAAGGGTGTGAAAGACGAGGGCTGAGCCCCCTGGTCTGGCACAGAAAAGACATTTCTAGATGGAACTAAAGTAGAGTGTTCATGTTGTGGTGGCAAGAGGTTGAAGGCTTTTCTGTACTCGGTTGAGTTGGGAATGCTCAGGACATGGCCATGAAAATGGGGAGGAGACCCCTTGAAGTAGTAAGGGGAGATTTTGTATAGATTCCCTGCAGGAGCCCTGGTGGCAGGCTGGTTACTTGTTGACCTGCTAAACTGCAAGTTCAGCAGTTCGAAAC